TCTTCAAGGGCAGGTGTGTGTCCGTTTTAAAGTCTCACTGGGCTCTGTTGTCGTTGTTTGCTTTCTACCATGGGACTTGCTTCTCTCTTCATTTAGGTTTGGTGGGCGGCCTGGCGATTACGTTTATGTCTTTGGAGACTACCGCATGGAGGAGGTTTGCTTAGTTGGACACATTGGCGCTTGTTGTTGATTGCCATGCACAGAAAATGTGCACGCATGACGTGTTTTTTTTTTTCTCATCACAGTGCGCTCCGCCAGGCTGCCTCATCGAGTTGTGCATCCAGCTCAGCATGATCATGCTGGGAAAGCAGCTCATCCAAAACAACGTCTTCGAGGTTCTCATACCGTATGTATTATACATATATAGATGTTCTTTACTTCCAGGGTCACGCAACACATTTACTACTAATTATTATTTTTTTCGCAGTAAGCTCAAAAAGATGTACAGAACAATACAGGAAGAAAAGGTTAAGAAAAGAGCAGCAGAAAATGAAGAGAATGCCACAGAAGAGAAGAGACCGAAGCAACAATTTGACAAAGATTACGCTCTGGAACCCTATGAAGGCGTGACGCCAGAGTACATGGAAATGAGTCCGTCTGTTTTAGTCTCACTCTTTTCACTTAACGAGTCACCCACTGCTGCAACCCCATGATCATTGAACTATGCGTGTGCATTCGTATTTACAGTAATCCAGTATGGGTTTGTGTCTCTCTTCGTGGCCTCCTTCCCGCTGGCGCCGGCGTTCGCTCTGCTAAACAACGTCATTGAGATACGCCTCGATGCTGCCAAATTTGTGACCGAGATCCGACGGCCGGATGCTGTGAGGTGTAAAGACATAGGTACAATGACACGTGAGGTCGTTCTGTCAGTCTCTGTGTGAGTGTGAATCAAGTGGAACTTTTAATCACTTTTCTTTTCCTTTACTCCACTCTGCCCCACCGTTTTTGTCTCTATTTCTGTCTTTCACACGCACACACACACACATCCCTCTCCCTCTCTTCCTGTTTTCATGCACATGCTGTCTCCAGGGATTTGGTACAACATTCTCTGTGGAATCAGCAAGTTCTCTGTAATTACCAATGTAAGTGTGCGTGGCTGATGAGTCTTTGATGTTTACTTTGCCCACGACCATTGATCTGTGGCAGAGAGAGTTTATCTCAGTTAAACAGCTATAGTTATCTCTAACTAAATAGTGTTTGCATTATTCTGTCTGTTTGTATACAGAACACATGGGGTTTGTCCTTCAGGTCTAACGCACACGTTGAAGGCGTTTCCTTCCTCGTAAAACATTTTCAAAGCATTTTTTCGTAATAATTGGCTTGAATTCATTTTAGTTCATGAGGGAGAGCAAATAGACCTTCATCACAGTAGAACATTTAGACTTGTCATAGGTGGAATGACACTTGGCAGAAGAGCAGTTTATTGTGACAATTACTGTCAATTAACAGTCAATTTCACCTGCACTTTTCTTCTTATTAAAATTAATCTTGGTAGTTAATAAGATTTATGTCAAATATGGACATGAAAAACTTTTTACCGTATAAAGTAAAATATAGATGCTGACTAGTCAATGTGCCGGAAGTAAGTGGTACGTTAACCACCATAATCCAGTGTTGTCGTTTCCCCGACTTTGTTTGTCTTCTCAGGCGTTTGTCATCTCCTTCACGTCAGAGTTTGTTCCACGCATGGTTTACCAGTACATGTACAGCGTAAACGGCACTATGAATGGCTACACAGAGCACTCACTGTCCTACTTTAATGTCAGCAACTTCCCGCCGGGCAGCGCGCCCACCACTGCCCTCGTCACCGGAGTCTCAATGTGCAGGTCAGAGTAACTCTTTTAACCCTAATCTCGAGTTCCCATTAAATCCTTGAGCCAATCCGATTAAGTCTTACTCTACTTAAACCCACACTTCTTATTTACTGTATTCTGGAACTGCAGAATATGGCAGGAGTTTTACTGAAGGGAATTATGCGATTTTTTTTGCCGTGTTGTGTAAATGTGTTCATTCGTGTGTTTTTCAGGTATAAAGACTACAGAGACCCACCTTGGGACACGGAGGCCTACACCTTCTCTAAACAGTACTGGTCGGTACTTGCTGCAAAATTGGCCTTTGTCATATTCTTCCAGGTATGGATGTAATATTTACAATTGTATGTTAATGTATGTCTAAAAAGCCAATGCTTCCTTTTCCCAAATTGAAAATCTATACAGCTCACTGTTTGGCGCTTAATGAGATCATTATCATGTCAGCTACCATAAGGTCAGGGATCAGTCTGAAGCCTGCCATAAATTACTGTATCCTCCCAACTTAATGAGGTAAATACAAACCTGATACCAAGCCGGCTGCATCCCTGTAGATTGTCATATTGTAAAGACTGTTGACCCACTGCAGAAAATAAGTGTCCTATTATAAAAGAAATATTTAACTCTACTCATGCATCGCAAAAAAAAACTTCTTATTTCCCCTTTAGAACTTCGCCATGTTCCTCAGCATGTTGGTGGCCTGGATGATACCAGACGTACCGCGATCTCTAAGGGAACAGCTGATGAAAGAGAACATGATGCTGATGGAGTTTCTGCTAAATCAAGACCAAGAAGCACGTGCCAAATCTCCCTCCCCGAAACGCTCCATCCCGCGCTTCAACGCCAACATAGACATTGTGGTGGAGGCACCACCAGAAGACGTGGAGGAGCAACGAGTGGAGGAGGAAAGGGTCGAGATCAATCTGGATGAAACGAGGAGGAGCGGTGACAGTGAGCCAGAGGTCGGGAAGTCGTTGGAAGAAGTTGAAGAAAATGGACAGGAAACGCAGAGAGGAGAGGGAGAAGATGAGGTTAGAGGGGTGGAAGTGGGAGAAATTGAAAAAGATGGCGACCGAAAGAAAGAGGATGGAAACGGAGAAAATAAGCAAGAGGAGGCAGAGGGAAAAGAGAAAGTGGCTCAAAGTAAAGAAGAACAGAAGGAAGTTGACAGTGAAACAGTGGAGAAGGAGGATTTTATTGTCGATCTGGACGCCATCATGAGCGAGCTCGGGCTGTTGGGTGAGCGAGAACCTTGTGTATTTGTTGTTTACTTTTTTGGTGTTGCTTGTGTCAAGATATTGATTTTTTTTTTTTCCTCTTTATTTGATTCCTTCTCACATAGATGACGATCTTTCAACGAGCACGCCCAGAGATACAGAGTTCCCCCGCTCAGAGTCCGAACAGCAATACCAAAAAGACCAGCAACCTCTGCGTCACCTGTCTTCCGAAACGGGCTCCGGGTCACAAATGACATCAGATAGCAGCACGGGGCTAATTGCTCCTCCTCCCAGAGAGCAAGGCTCGAGGGGGAAGGCCCGCTGTTTCACGCTGCCTTCCCGCAGCAAAGGGGCCGAGGCCCGCTACAGCCTGCCGCGGCCGAGCCACTCCGCCAGCCTCCCGAGGCCGGACACGCTCGCCCCCGTGGTTCCCCTGGGCGCCCCGTCGTCGTCTTCGTCCGACCCGTCCCCGTCCGACCCGTCCCCTCCCCTACACACGCCTGTGTCGCCATCATCATCATCATCATCATCGCCACCTGCCACGCAGTGCCCATCAGCACAACGGCATAGAGCCCCCGGTGAACTGTTTGCGCTGGAAGGCCCTCCTCCGCAGCAGCCGCGCCCCAGGGGCAAAGTCCGGTGCTCCACCCTGCCCCCCCGGCACAGAGCCGCCGGAGCCGAGGAGCCTTCCACCAAGCCTAGCCATTCCACCAGCTTGACAAAGCTGCACCCCCCTCTGCCCCGGTGAACTGAAATGCAACGCACCAGCATGAGGATCGCTGGAAGATAAGGGAAAGGCACAAACTGCGGCAGAGGGAGGGGGGGGGGGGGGGGTGGAGGACTATCCAGATTAGCTTCTCCCATCTGTGCCTGGAGACCTCCGTCTGACCTTTTTGCATATATAACACCTTGGATCTGAAGAGAGACCATCCAGAGGAACTGAATGTCCTTTTCATCCTCTTAGTCTTCATGGACCACTCGGTGGTTTAGGGCTGACCCGGGCAAGGAGACGCATTGGCAATGCAGAAAAAGACCGCTTTGAAACTCCCGATTGCATGCTCGAAAACTACACCACTTAAACTTTAACCTCTACTTGCATTTTTTTTTTTTTTTTTATCATGTCTTGTTTTCACAGTTCAATAGCCACTGCACCGCACAGCTAGTATCAACACTAATGCTTGTAGCTACTGTTAATTCTTAGTTGTTTTGATATATAAAAATGTAAAATGATAATAAAAGGACGACATATTTTTGATACCTGCTTTTGTCTCTAAAATTTCAAGGTCATGTATTATGTTATATCATAGCCAGAAAGTCTTTGATTTTTTTTTTGCAGTTTATATCAAAAATACACCCATATTCAGATTAATTATTATTTTCACGGGCCGCAAGCTGAATACAGTTGATTCAAGACAGCACCTCTGGTGCGTTGTGGATCATTTGTTAGTCAGTGTGCTGCATTTGTATATAGAGTGTTGCATTACTTTTTGTATCACTCTTTTCATTATGAGTATTCTCCTGCTAAGTACTTTTATTAACATCAGACGTGATATGTAATAAATCAGTAATGTTTCCACATGAAGCCGCAGTAGAGAAAATAGTTCAATGTAACCAAGGTTACTTGGTTTTTCATTGGTTGGTTCGTCCCAGGCAGCTATTAGACAGAGTGAGTGTTAATCTCTGTGTGCAGGAAAGTTCTTTCCTCTCCAAAACCTGAGCCAGCTCCTCCTCCTCCTCCTCCTCCTCTACCCCACCACTGAATGAGGCCTTTGTAGGGGGCTTCCCAACATTCCAAGGGGAATTCTTGCAGGTGAAGGTATCTGTCCCACGTTTAAAAGACTGCTTCTACATCAAGGGAGCCCAGCGATGAACTTACTTTACCTTAAAGGACTTGCTGCAACTTCAAGTGTGTGATTGCAAGAGCAGAAAGGGTGGGAGGGAAGGATCCCGTTGTTTCCATCCAGGTGAGCGACCTGCGCCAGTCGCCTCACACACACCGTGAGGTGCATTGTACAGAACAACTCAAGCATTGGCTCATGAGTAAATATTTGACTTTTTCAAACTACCTTTTCATGCCGTCTTTGAAGAATAGCTCCACGTCGGCCGAGAGACTGAACATGTAGACTCTTTTTAGTGCTGTTATCTGATGTGGATTAGATGGAGTACGGTACATAAACTGAATAAGTGACAGACAGGCTTCTCAGGCAGGTCCCTGTACAAGGTAAGTGTATGTTTCAGTGTGTGGACATGGGCTTGTGTATACATTAATGGATGTATTCTGTGAGTATTCTGAACATTCAACCTCTTTGTAAGTATGGAACTGTATATTTTAGTTTAGGTGTAGCTTTCTCAATATATTCTACTTGAATGGACTTTGTCACTCTGTGTGCACTATCTTCCTCAGCTCCCCTCTTTGGTTGGTACTGGTCAAGACTCCCTGAAGGCATGTATGCTTGTTTTACGATGCTGACTTATTAACTAACTTTGAGGTTCAGGGATACACTAGTATGAATAATGCTGCATGCTGGTGAATCATCACGGGAATTGCAGTACATAAAATGATTTATTACCTTGATTTCATATTTTGGAGGTAGATTTTTAACTAGTCAAATAATGTGTTCGTACCTGCCGTCTATCATGGGCAGAGCCCAGATAAAGGACTTTACTTATCTTCTAATCTACCCCATTTGAATTTCCCCTCACCCTTCTTTATCTTCCTTGCCCTTTGATATCTTTTGTACTCCATCTCTAAATTGCTCACTTCCTAAGTGACTGCCTGTCGCCAGAAGTGGCCACAGCTGAAAAGTGGCGGGCTGTATTCAAGACTAAGAAAGTGGTGGATTTTTGGCCGTGAATCCACATTGACCAATTCATTAGATTCTTCTGGGGTTTTCTTTTTTTCCGGCAGCATGTTGCAGACAGTGAGCGAGTGGCTGTGGTGGGAGCGTCTGTGGCTGCCAGCGAACGTCTCCTGGTCCGACCTGGAGGACGGTGAAGGCCGCGTTTACGCCAAAACCTCTCAACTCCACGCTGCTCTGCCCTGCGCCCTCTGCCTGCTGCTCGTTAGATACCTGTTTGAGAGGCAAGCTTGTGCAATCGCCGGCTTTCACAATTGCGTCACACGAGCTGAACTCTCAATGTAATGTTGAATGCGTGCTGTTGCAGATACCTGGCCACGCCACTGGCTAATGTTTGGGGGATCAGGGACAGTGTACGCCTGACAGCGGAGCCAAACCCCCTCCTAGAAAACTATTTTCGCTGCCGTGCACGCGCCCCATCGCAGGTATGTGAAAGTTTCACTGATAAAAACACGTGGGTGCTTTGTTGTCCTAATCAACTGTCATTTGGTGCCTTTTGATTTTGATTGCATGATTTTGTGTAGTGTTAAAAGAGAGAGTTGTTCCCTTGGTTGGAAATAAACGTCCTCAGAGAGCGTATCAGCTGTGTAGTTTCCCTCGTGTCTCAGGTGGATGTGAGGTCTCTGTGTAAGAAGACCAGCTGGTCGGAAAGGAGAGTCCAAGTGTGGTTTAAGAGAAGGAGGAACCAGGAGCGCCCAGGGCTTCGGAAGAGGTTCTGCGAGGCGAGGTGTGTGTTTGACTGTGCACTGACGTGAGAACAAGTGTCTCTGTGTAAATATGTAACATTGTTGTCGTTGTCTGTCAACAGCTGGAGATGTGTATTTTATACTTTTGCATTTGTCTATGGGGTCCTAGCTCTCTATGATGTAAGTAGCTTTGGCTCAATCTGAGGTTTTACCACTATCCCTCTTACAGAATCAGTCTCTTGTGTCAGTAATTGCTTTTTCATTGCACAAATTGTTTGCTTTGCTACTTTGGGGAGGATCTGTCTATTTGTTTTGTCTATGTATTTGTGTGTATTACTCTGATTTCACTGTTATGTGCAGTGTGTGTGAACCTCACATGTCTCTTTGGGCTTCAGGGTTATCTTACACGCAGACAAACATACATGAGCTTGTTGGCTAACATTAACCCTTCTCAAGGCAACCCCCCCCCCACCTCCCCGCCGCCCACACACATGTATTTCCCTCTGTTTTTGTTGGCTGCAGAAACCGTGGCTTTATAACCTGAGGGAGGTTTGGGCCGGCTTTCCTAGACAGGTAAGGGATTTTGCTCTTGCTTTCAGGCTGCTGTTTACAATATTACAGTATGCAAACATCTGAGTGTGTGTGCTGTGTGTCCATGCAGTCCATGCTGCCCTCTCAATACTTTTATTACCTCTTGGAAATGGGATTCTACCTTTCTCTGCTCCTCAGCCTCACCTTTGATGTGAAACGGAAGGTGAGTATGGTGTTGGTGTGTTGTGGTGCACGACGCACAAACCAAGCCACATATTTCCCTTCGATGTTATACAGATGCAATACATTCTGGATGTCTTTTGTGTCACTTGCACTGCCGTGTTTGTGTAGGACTTTAAAGAGCAGGTGATTCATCACATAGCCACACTGACTCTTCTGAGTTTCTCTTGGATTTCAAACTACATTCGTATCGGAACCCTGGTGATGGCAGCTCACGACTGTGCCGACATACTGCTGGAGGTCAGTGCGTACATCAGTGCACGTGCAAACTAATCTGCGGGACCGTATTTTAGGCTAAAGAAGATAACTGTTATTTTGAATGGTCACAACTTGGGCGGCACGGTGGCGTGGTGGTTAGCACTGTCGCCTCACAGCAAGAAGGTCCTGGGTTCGATTCCGCCCAGTGGCCTTTCTGTGTGGAGTCTGCATGTTCTCCCCGTGTCTGCGTGGGTTCTCTCCGGGTTCTCCGGCTTCCTCCCACAGTCCAAAGACATGCTCTGGGGATCAGGTTAATTGGGGACTTTAAATTGCCCGTAGATGTGTGAGTGTGAATGGTTGTATGTCTCTGTGTAGCCCTGCGATTGGCTGGCGACCAATCCAGGATGTACCCTGTCTATCGCCCGAAGTTGGCTGGGATGGACTCCCGCGACCCTGTGTGCAGGATAAGTGGATGGACTTATGGATGGACAATGGATGGATGGATGGACAACTTAAGATTCTAAAGCACAATTATCTTCAAATAAAAGTATAACAATTTGCTTCTGAGGAAATAAATGCGGTTCAGTCGCTGTGTCAGTAGTTTGACGCAGAGCCTAAAACCTGCACACGATGCCGTAGATAAACTCTACAGGACTCAAACAAGTAGGACGGAAGGAAGTAGGACAAGTAGGACTTGTGCAGCCCCTCCATGCTGCATGAACATTGCCTGGACTTTGAACAGCAGTAATCTGGAAGGCGGTTGCCGTGCCCCACCATTCATTTAGTAGGTCCAAATAAAAAAACAAACCCCATTCATATTCACAGGTAATAGTTTTTGCACAAATGTTACACTCTAAATGTGTACATAACGTTCTTAGAGAAATTTTATGACCGACGATGAAACGATGCTTTTATACAAGAAAGTGAACATGTTTTCCTTGTTTTTATGTCACAGGGTGCAAAGGTATTAAACTACGCCAAGTGGCACCGGACTGCTAACGCCATGTTTGTGGTGTTTACAGTTCTCTTTATGCTGACAAGACTTGTCATTTTTCCTTTCTGGTAAGTGTGGGAAATGCAAAGATGATGCATCGTGACAATATTGGAGAAATGCGTAAAAAACACAGAAGTCATGAAATACATTTGCGTGTCCCCTACAGGCTGATTCACTGCTCGTGGGTGTATCCAATGGAGGAGTTTGCTCCCTTCTTTGGCTACTACTTCTTCAACGTGATGTTATTGGTTCTTCAGATGCTCCACCTCTATTGGGCTGTTCTCATTTCACGAATGGCTTACAAATGTATCTTTAGCAAGGTGTGTTTACCGGGGCCTGTATGTTTAATTAATGTTAAATATATGCATGATTGTGTTTTCAACGTCTCCTCTCTGGCACATCTTCATGTCGTAGCTGGAAGGCGACGAGAGAAGTGATGAAGAAGAGGATGACAGTGACTCACCGAGGGAAAGGGACAACAAATTAAGTCACAAAAATGGAACTGGAGCCAGAGACAGGGCCAATGGCCACTGACGTGTACGGAAACAGAGAAAAGTGGAACATGGATAGCAGGACTGATCCTTTTGTCCTCTACTCATTCAGTCTCGGTTGCAACGGTTTGAATCTAGTTGCATAATAAACAATGAGTTTTTTTCTAAAGGAACTGTGAATGAGTATACATAAAGAGCTAAGTGCAGAATTGTTTGGTATTTCACTGATTTCAGAACATTTAACAATTTATTCTTCTTTTTTCATATCGTATTTTTCATTGTTGTATGTTTTTGAGGTAAGTTGTAGTATGGTGGTGATCACAAGAATGATGTGTTAAGCCCACATGTTTGGATCTACGCAACATGATATGCTTTCACATGTATTTACGTTTATAAACGTTTTATTTGAGTACTTTTTATGAGCTCGTCCTGCTGGCACGAGACACAAAATTAGCAGAAATACCGTGAGATCTCACTGGCCCTGGATATCAGTTACGGAACTAGCACGCCCTCTCGCGTGAATAAACGAGAACTGACAGAAGACGACCGGTCGTCGGTTACCATAGAAACCACCATGCGAACCATGCTAAGGCTACGTTTATCGAGCCACGCTCGAAAGTAGGTTTACGTTTTAGCAGGATCACAAAAGTTATCCGCATCATTTTCCAGGATGGCTTATTCCAGTACTTACAGCAAAAAAGTGAAGTTGGGAAACTGGTTTCAAGAGAATCTTTTTGAAGAGGTTTGTTCAAAATATAACCCGTATGCTTTAGCTAACGTTAGTATAGCTAAAGTTGAAGTAAATTCCAACGAGACAGCTGGTGGCGAGTGATTCATCTGCGTAAACACATGTTTACAAAGAAGCTGTGTGCTCTTTCTTACAGCTAAAGTTAGTTTACATTAGGGATTAGAAGTGGTTCGATTGTCAGCCCACCCATATAATTTTAACTGTTTGTAACGTAAGACGTAAGATTGGTTAGACATTGGTTAGACATTCACCACATTAGACAGTCGTGCACTATTGATTTTGTTCGTCTCTATATTGTGCCGAAAATAGTATGTTGTAATTTTAGAGGCTAATTAAGAAACCGCATTTAAACCAATGTTTAACGTCTGTCAAACACCGTATGTTAATCCTTCAAAATGCTCACAGTATGTAACAATACGTTGTCATCGTAAATCGTTAAACATTCTCCACTCACAGGACAAAGAAGACTATTATCACACAGGCGTGAATTTCTATCTATTAGGAAATAATACAAGTGAAATAGTAACAATGTTGTCTGAATAAAACGTGCAGTGCTATGTAACGTTAGATAAAGTCCAGAACGCTGTGAGCTGTTATATTGAGTTACATTAAGACTTCTACAAAACCAAGTACCGGGGTCGGTTTCTGGGGCTTTTATGGTGAAGGACACAAACGGAACTTGAGTGGTTCAGTGGTGGGATTCATTTAGCTTAACGTTAATAAAGTAGTTTCCGTCATGCGGTGAACTAGAAAATTTAGCTGCTTTCCACAATTACCATACGACGTGTCTTTTACGCTGAAATGAAATCCCACCAATGTACCAAATGTATCCAATGGTTATTTTGCCCCATAATTTATAAAATTGATAAATAAAATCACCTATCATCTCTCCACTTCCGTTTTGTTCTCCACCATAAAAGGACCAGAAACTGCAAATGATCACGGTCTCTTAAGTCAATATAATAGCTAACATAAGTCAATTCAATATCTTACATTATTACGTTTTTTTTATTGTTGAAATTACGTTAGCTGGAAGCTATTCACTTTATTTAGTGAATTGTTATTGCTTGCTATTAAGTTAGTTACTGCTGAAGCCATTTTTATATTCTGTTGATTCATGATTCTTAAGTGAGTCAGGAATCACAGAGCCAGCTGTGTTGTAAACTATTAATTTGTTTGTATGCACGTTATTCATTGAAATATGTTGATGTCGTTCCAGGATGGTAAGAATGACTACCTTGAGAAAAAAAGGAGGGGTGAGCTTGTTACCCAAAAAGTAGACTTCCTCAAAACAAACATTTTGAGACCGGTAAAAAATAATTTTGTCTAATTAATAACACCACAAATACTTCCACAATGGTGATGATGGGGATGGCAATGATAATCCTGTTTGATGTTTCGAGTCCAGGTGAATCTCACTATGACAAATGATGGGAGGCTGCACTTCGGGGATGTTGTGATGCTGGTGAACATGGGAGGAGAAAAGAGGGAGTGCAGTGCAGTGAGCATTAGAGCAGACATCAACAGTTTGAAGAGGATTCCTTTGGCTGGCATTAAAGCCCCATGTGGAGTCAGTGCAGGAAGTTGTATTCAGGCCTGCGTGGCCACCGCTTTCATCATTACCAGGTACGCGCACATACACACTTAAAACCTAACAAAGCCCAATCAACACACGTTGCAAAAAACACTCCCACATGTAAACTTGTAATGTTGCTTGTATGCTAGTGTTGATGGCAGTCCTGAAGGATCGACTCTGCATTTTGAGCAAAGCTTTGCTCTAAAAACAACGAGTGGCTTTGCCGGCGGTGTAAGTAAAATTGACTCACACACACACACACACACACACACACACACACACACACACACACACACACACGCGTATATAAGTATTTTTACAAAAACACCAGTGATCTCACAAGCATAAAGAGCATTATGCAGCCAGTGAAAACAGTTCTGTAACGGCTTTCTAAAGTTTAAGAAAATAACCATAATTATAAACCCTGTTATTATGGATCAAGGTTAATCCCTGTTGCGCTTGGAGCCATTGTCTTAATTATTTAATTGACTCAATTAGTGTTGTTGTTGTTACTATGAAGGGGTTGTTTTAATTCAGGTACACAATGGGGTGGCATGGTTCTTTTACAGAGATTTTGGACGACTAACGTGACTCTATTTTGCCTAACGGTCTGTTTCTATGTCTGTCTCTGTCTTTCTGTCTAGAACTAAAAATAACTGTGATTACACTTTTCTCTTCTCTCTTTACAGCTTTACCTGACGAGTGACATGCAAAGTTTTCAAAAGGTAGATCCAATTTTGACATGAATTATTTGCGGAAGACATTTGACTAGGATACATTGCACTGGACAACCACGTTCTTAGAGGTTTAACAAAGCTGAGGTGTAGAAATATTACACGCATAAAATTCACAATGCAGCACTTTTGTTTGACCTTTCAACCAGAGTCTCTGCAGTTGTACGTTGCATATCGTTGTGATTTATTTTTAGTGTGCCATGAAGTCCAGGCTACAAGAAGTAAACTTGGACGACAGCGGTTCCTTTATGTCATGGTGGAAGGTAGTCCACTTTGACCCCCAGGAGAGGCTTGAATATGAAGGACAACCTGTTCCAGTAAGTGTACAATACATCCTCATGGTTAACTATTACACCTGTAGCAACATCAGCATTTTGTGTTCTGTTAAATCTGTGGTGTAAAAAAACTTTCCTTAGTTTCTTCCCCTTGCAATCTCCATGCAATCATGATCATTTTTCTACAGGTAAATATGACTGTGCTGATCAAACACTGCAAGACAAACCAGGCTCTCGCTGTTCTGGGAGATCATGTCCTTTGGTATTTACATTTTTCATTTTAAATGTAACCTAAATCACATGATGGAAAGGCTTTCAATTTGCTGTCCGATGTCAATTTGGAGGTCCAAGTATAAATGATGTATAAATATGTGAGATGGCTGAGCAATACAACTGTATCGTTGATGTAAGTGCCTAATGAAGACACAAATATACCTCGATATACTGTAAGTCAGCTAATTGTGGGATAAGGAAACAGCCTGATAGGACTTTTGTTTTTACAGTCAAGTGAAAAACCTGAACTCTGAATCAGTCACTTGCAGCCCGAGATGAATCGGCTTTCTTAACCCAAACAACATATTTTATCATTCTCAAATTAAAACTCCTGTCAAAATCTAACAGAAACGCAACATGCCGATTCACTTTGATCAAGCTGCATTGCACAGCTATAAGACGAGGACCTCCAGTATGGCAGCAAAAATGCTGTCCCAATGCCTGCCGGCCCTCTGTCATTCTGTGTGTAACAGTCGTGTCTCTGCAGGACCACATATGACAAAGGGTATGAGCTGACGGCTCACACCTTCCTGGACTCGCACAAAGCCGAGCAGGACAACAACCACTGGATACTTTGCACCTCCGACTCTGCAGGGAAAGGGCCCGTAACTCTCAGCCACCCACCGTCAGCGGGAAACAACGAGGAGCCCCCACCTGCAAACCCTGATGTCTAAATCCACAGTAACACAGTTCACCCTAATGCAGTAACGGGTACAAAAATACGGCAGATGGATACTACATCGCTGATAAAACTTTAACCCTTTTAAAATAAAGCTTGATTTTGTTTTATTTGGGTCTTTTTTTCTTCTTCCCACCCATACACATTCTTCCAGGATGAACTTCAGCCTGCAGGTTGAGGTTATAAGATACACATTAGCCGGCCAGACTGCTGGCTTTGTTGGAACAACCATTTGATATGTTTCTTAAAAACAACCCTTGTACTGTTTTGGTGCCGCAGTTGCTGAATCAAATAAAAGCATTTTGTAACACACAGCAGATGAAGAGGCATTGGCTTTGGTGCTAACTTATTATACTGCTTAAAAATCGTGCTCTGACCTTTTAAAAAGGTTGGTTTCTCGTTTTGTTCAAGTAGTAAAGTCACCAAGTCCTTGGGTTGTATTTTCAGCCTCACAGACATAATGAAATGTTTTTTTTCAACTTCTTAACCTGCTTACCTTCATATTGTCTTGTTGAAGCCTTCTCACTTATCTGCAGATGGCTCCATCATCTACACATATTTAGGGGGTCTGTACTCAGTGGCGTATAAAGACATAATCCAGCTTTCCTTCATCTTTGTCAGCCTGGTGAGAAACACCAGAAGCACTTTAGTTACGAGCTTCGGATGCCTTGAGCCACTGTGCTGCCTCGCTTTTCTCACTGTGATTCTCTCTGGATGCTCTGCAGCCTCCTCTGCTCGGCCTCAGGTCACCTGCTGCTGGGACCGTTTTTATTATGGGAATCCCCTCAGTCCTCAATGGACTTTGTGCTGCTGTCCTCGGCATCCACGTTTACACAAAACATATACAAGACGGAGGAATGATGAGATGAGGAAGCAGGTAGGAGTTTGTGTGTGTTTGTGTGTTTGTGTTGAGCATAATGGGAAGTAACAGCATTTTTATTGCCCTGCTGATGAGGAAAATAACGGTGCCGTTAATATAAAACTTTAGGCTTAGCTTACGTTGGCCGAAGTATACGCAAACCTATTTTTATGCACATTCCTGCCAACCAGTCTGCACATTTGTTACATGTACTGTATATTACACATGTTTAATACTGAATCATGTGCTTTATATGCACTAAACTGGCCAGCAGTGTGTGAAGAGAGAATCAGGGAGGCATTGATGCGTGCTGGGCTTCTTTTTTAACCGAAGAAGATGAAGGCTGCATGTGAAGACCTCAATATTCTCATGTTAATTTCAGAACTCAGTGTTAAAAAAAAATCGTACCTTTTTGTGTCTTTAATGTGTAATTGTGTGTGTGAGAGGGAAGAAAACAGGACATCAATGTACATCTGATAGAGTGCCTTTACTGCAAACAATAGTAGGGGTTTATAGATGTTTATTATCTATAACATTGAAATACTATCCCTAAACGTATTTGTTGCCATTATGGCAGTTTTGACTTGATGTCCTGGTCTAATTTCACATTCGTTCCAAGCTTCTGTGCTGCCTTTGTAACAGCAGAGGGCAGCGCCTAAACATTTAAAGGACAAGAGATTGTTCTGACCAAAACAAATACTCACAACTTGAGTTTCAATAAAAATGTATCAATTAAAAAAGCCACTTGGTTCATTTCTACTTAGATAAGGTGGCACATGCGGCATGTATGTCCCTTTTTTTGTTTCTTATACTGCAACCACTCACTTTACTTGAAGGAGAAGACAGGCTTTCAGGTTTATGATTTTCTAAAAAATAAATGTACTACTTAACCCTGAACTCAAGTCTGTTTTTCTACGCCATACATTCCGGATGAAGTGGAAGTATTTTCGCTTTCATCACACTTTACTTTGGTCTCTGCGTAAATGATTTATCGGATATAATAAATAAGCTTCAAAATCGTTCCATTTGAATAAATATATAACATGACGCGGCTAATGCCATTTTTTCTGGTAATTATGTAAACAAAAGAAATACGAGAAACAAACATATCTCAACATATATTTATTGTTTTTAAATGTATTGATATTTAAACATATAAAGAAGATCCTGATCCGGGATCTACCCATTCACCAAGGGATTTCATTTCATAGAATATTTACTCTGATTATGTCATAATCCAAACACCTCTTCAATTCCCCATTTTAAGTATTAAAAGTATTGTCGCTTAAGCGGAACGTGAATCCACATAATATATAGTCCGGTCTCCTAAAAACGAGGGATCCATGTCGGGCTTTACTGGTGACCCGGCCCGATGGTACAGCTCCAATGCGCGAAATGGACTTCATGGTACTGAAAGCTTAAAGGAAGTATGTTCACACCCACAGTACAAAACAACCACACGATCAGCAGCAACCCAAAGGAATACTTCATTTAAATCCGTGACTGATACTCTGGTGACTTCATGTGGAGAGCAAATATAAGTTGAAAGTAAAACTTCAATCATTTACCTCTCTCGGACACAAAGCTGCTCAGTCAACAACCCTGGAATACATTATTTTCAGATCTGCACACGTTGATGCAAAGTTCAGGGAGTAACATCTTATCTTTGACTGAGACGCATTAGCAGTCAAGCAAAAGCAGTTCGTCGATAGAGGGCGCTATAAACCCTCCCGTCTCCAAACGGGCCAAGACACTAAAAGCATCCATGTGCTGGAATATTAATAGTGCACGGGTTTGCTGATAAGCAGGTGGGTGTTTCAATTAAGCACAAATCCGTGAATAATATGAACCACGATAATAATAATATAACAATAAAATATGTAAACTGAAACATCAAAACTTGTAAGTACATATTGTCACGGGCCCCCACGTCACTTTAGAAATTGGTCTAATAAAACTGTGCATTACAGTTACCCGCTGTTTATCCTGCGTCATTAATAGTATCGTATCATCCTGCAATGGGCTCGTCTATAAACGCGGGCTACTTTAAGGATGCTTTGCTGCAAACACTGAAATGTGCACCCATGACTTGTAATGATGTCACGGAATTCATAACAAGGCGGTCGTTCTAATTGAAATAGCCCACGTACACCACGGCTGCTCGGGGACACCCAGCGGCATTAGGAGTATTAGTACCCGGCGTCTCCTTTAAGGAATCTAATGGGATTTCGGAGGGATCTCAAATCCAGTCCGGGTGTTCCGACCTGCTCCCCGGTCGTGTGCGTTTCTGTGGGAGAGAGAGAGAGAGAGAGAGAAGCCGACTCTTGTTTACAGCAGAGATCCCACGGAGGACCGCGGACCCGCAACGCTGCGTTAACTCAGGGCGAACCGCAGGACTTCAGCCTCCGTATCCACACGCGCGCAACGGGACCCTCTGTTTGCGCTCTTCTTCTTTTAAAAAAAATCTTTTAACAACCCCCCCCCCCCCACGAGGATTACAGAGAAAACACGCATAAAGGGCAACTCCTTGTGGACACGTTTCTCCCTCTCCAAACCCCAGCCGAGGTCGCGTGTGACGCCGAGGAGCTGGAGACCCATTCTCTCTGTTGCGTGGCACACGTCTGGTGTTTTCCTAGTCCGACCCGAGGAGAGCAAATTGTCCCCGAGGCCCGGGGGCTGCTGCTGCTGCTTTTATGGGGGATTGAGAGCCTGCGCTGTTTGGATGGCATAAACCAAAGGAGAGAGAGAGAGAAAAGGGGGTTTCATTCATTTTCCACCTCGCGGCCACCACCCTGTGGATCTGGACGTGTTTTCTGCCCCGGTCCTTCCCTCATACACAACAACCGCAGGGGGGGTTGGTGTTAGAAACACTGGCGTTAATGTATTATGGTGGAAAAGGCTGCCAAGGATAACATTTAGTGGGATATCTGTTGTACCGTCAGTGTCGGGCCTGATTGCACTGTAAGCGCACTGCTGTTTTCAAGAGATGGAGACTGAAGATGGGGATTACCATCATTTATCCAGAAAAATCACTGGCTCGTGTGCCATACCAGCCGACGTCAAAGTATCCCGTGATTGGCAAAAATAACAAACTGTTTTAGGCTTTTTTTTTTTCATCCTTCAGAGGAATATCTCGTTCCTGCGATTTTGTAAACATTTATTCCTATTTTTCAGAGTAAACCCTGGAAGCCACGCATTTGCGGGCTACCATATAGTAGCCCTCTTGGGCTACAGACATTTTTTTCCTCCATATTCTTTGCAGGGCTGGTGTGTACAATTATTTAATTTCAATTCCATCCCTGCTTTTTTATTTTTTTTTAATTTTCAAACGGAGAATGATGTTGAAGAACATGAGCTGTGACACACGGATGCGTAGCGCGACCTTGTTTTGGGGGCTGATGCTCTCCTTCTCTATCTGCATCTGGTCCACACATGGAGAGAGTGAGTATTTTTCACTATAATATTTTGTTAAAGTTTATTGTTACGCATGGGTTGACATGTGCTTTTTTTGGAGGGGGGGAGGGGGGGTCTTGGTTCAACCTCTTGTATTGCAGTCGTTTGCTGACTGGTGGAATGAATAATGGGTATTTTATTAAAAACAAACTGAACCGCATTTTTTTTACCACTAGGTCCTAGATACTCAATGTGACAAACCTAATGTAGCCACCGACTTGCGAATTTTTATTTGAGGACCATGTGGCACAGCTGCGCGTCACGCACGCAACATCTGCTTTATTGTGCGCATATCGCCTCATAAGATGAAGCGGCTTTGATGACCGGAAGCTTACGGACGTGGTAACATTCGCGTTAGACATCCAGATAGCAAAGGGATGAAATCTAGGCACCAGAGCTGAAGGTTACTACGACCATGTGGCCATTTTGCATTTCGTGGCGTCGCTGCGCATGAGAAGGAAAAAAACAACCCTAAATCACATTTAGCTCTTTTAAAAAGCCATATTAAAAAAAAAAAAAAAAAAGAAACCACAAAATGCAGGCAAATAATTGAAAAGGCTTTCTTCAGCCGGCTATTTTTCATAAACACCGCGGATGATTAAAGCGCCTCGGTGACGTTACTCCGTGTGAAGCTATGTGGCGTCTGGATGGACACGCACGGGCTGCTGCGCGCGCGCACGATTCTTATCCGAGTCGTCGCATCACGTTCTCACACTCATGGAAACACTGTAGAAGTGTCTCGAAAAACATGGCATTTTAGTATCGATACACTTTACATATACGGACACGTGTGTTGAAATAAAACACTGAGGAAGACGTGAGTTGATACGATTTCCGTTACCAACCAATAACTTGATTGCACTGATTTTTCTCTTTGAATCCGTGTGGGAAACTTCAAAGTACTTCCTCTTTAGTCGTGTTAAAAGTTCATGAGCTTTTAGCAAATTCAGTATCCTTGCTGTGATTTAAATGTTTTGTTTTATGGTCTTTACATTTCAAATGCACCTATCAGGGCTTCAGCCAGCATATTGTACATTACCTTTAAAACAAATCTCAAAACGACTACTTGGCTTTTCAGTTAAAACTCTCTAAATACGATGTTGAACAAAGATGATGCCATATCTGCCTTTTCAGAAAGTCTAAACTAGCTGTAGTTTCCGAAAAGCCAACTCTCTGCACAGAGATTGTGGCTCCGCTCAACTTGGGTGGCATGCTCTGTTTTTGTGTTTTAGGGTGTTGCATCACTTCCGTACTAATTTGCCTGTTTCCTAAGAGGACATGTGGGATGGTGGAGATGCCTTGACACGGGAAGGAGACATATAAACTGACCTATATTAGCATTCGAATAGAAGAAAAAACCCACTGGCCATCCGGTCTGACCCCAGCCACGCAGAGGAGCTTTTCTGTGCCACCTCCCTGAGTTGATGAGACAACCGCGACTGGGCCTGGGACCCAAAGTGGGTGCTCTCACATCTCAATGCTCTGTGGCGCATAATACATCACGCCTATCAGAACAAAGCAGGAAGAGACAAATACTGTGGTGAAGATCAACACAGCAAGGAGTCTCTGTCTATTGCTCGGGGGGCGGGGGGGGGTTAGTTCACTGGGCCGCCGAGAGTCGGACTGCATCTATAATCACGTAGTGGAAAAAAAATCACAGATAGCTTTTGCTGTTCATACGGTAGTGGTCTCCCGTACACCCCGATGCGCTTTACTCCATCACTTGGCGCCGTCACTATCAGCGTTAAAAATAGATATGTCCCCAACAACGCTGGCCCAGGGGTTGTGAGTACAAGCACCGTCTGTCCCGTTCCGCGAGGGCACACCAGTGTTCTTGTTTGGTTATATATGAAGGGACACGCTGCTCTTGAAAACCTGAATGGCGGCATAAATAATCAAACGCCAGCAAGCATTGCGCTTGGGGTGCACTCGTCCCCATCGCTCCATTTGGGGGTCGTGATCCGGCAAGTGACTCTGATAAAAGCATATCTATATGTGTGTATGTATAGATATATTTATTATGTTGTCTTTTTTTAAACTGACAGGGACAGTGTGACTAACATGCCAGTGGCTGAGATATGACTGCTGTAACTCTACTCCAAGGTGCCCTACTCCATCTTGTGACCGGGGCGACATGGTTACATGCACTCGCCCCTCCAGCATGCGTTCCCTCCCCATATCCCTGCCGTGGCTTGATGCAGGAACGCCAAGTGTAGTGCGTGTGCGTTAAACAGCCCTATGTTGTGCGTATTTGTGTGTTTTTTGTGCATGTACTGCAGCAGGACAGAGTCAGTGGCGTGCACCCCCCGCCCCCCTGTATAAGGACGTTAAAGTGTGTCACTGGGCTAGTTTGTGAGAGTGCAGTGAGACGCTGTCGTGCAGCTCCTCCAGGCTGCCAGCTGAGGTTTACAATGCTTAATTAAACACTCTGTTTCAAGTGGCCTGCTTCGGATTTGGGCGAACGCAGTCTCTGGCCAACCGCACATACATCATCATCACAGGCTGACGATTTAGTGGCTCATGGAGTGTTGTCATGATTGCAAATATTAGCTTCTACATTGGATGGCACCTGGTGGGTCGATTTGAAAAGCAGGTTCGTCAAGACCTGAACGTGGATCCTCCACCGGTTGGAGATCTCTTCTGCCAAAGATTAAGCTTCAAGGTGTTTTCAGAATCGCAGCGAGAAACCACTTCCTTTTGTCGTGTTGTTGTTGTTTCAATCGTGAGACCATCAGTTGTTTATTTATATTTAATGAGGAAATGAAGAGGCCGTAAATGCTGGAGAGCAAGTTGTATTTTTATGTGCAAATGATTTTGTATCACCGCTGAATTAAAATATAGCAATTAACTGTCATGCCTGATTATTCATCGTACTTTGTTTTCTTTTATGGATTTCACTGATATACACCAGAGAGGGCCGTAGAGTTAACGTGACAGACACACAAGCAATGTTAGGAAAAATTATATTTGGCTTTGACTCATATAAAGGATTTAATGCTACCATAATACATTTATCACCACTTATATTTAAACACTAATAAGAGTTCCTCAATTTCCATTATTTTGAAAGTTTCCTACAAGCTTCATTTGTTGTAGCCATTTTCCCCTTGATAAAAATATCTGCAAACCATATTTCTTTGTAATGGATCAGCACATTAAATGTAGTCGTTCACATTGATCATGTTTTACTGTTCGTGTTAAAAAGGTCAGTTACCCCGTGCCCTGTTTCCTTATTTTGGGACGCGTAAGGGAGGTTCTTTGAGTGAGATTTGTTGTGATGGACAGCGTAGTGTTACTGTTTGGGGTTTTAGTGAAACTTGAGCCACGGTGTTTGAAGTAAGGTCCGCTGAGGGGAAGTGGCCCACCAGACTGCTGGTCAGATGACTTCCAGTGTGCTGGGGATTAGGGCCACTTGATGTGGCAGGTGTGAGGGGATATTACCGCACTGCGACCAGTTCCCTCGCTGCGTCAACAAGTACTGGATTTTAGTGGGACATTTTTTTTTCTTGTTGTTCCTATGGTTCAGTGAGTAAATCTTCACCGTGTAACGTTCTCATGCCATGTTACATATATGCATCAATACACAGCTCTCAAAGCGAATGCTTTGGGTTCGCCCATGGACCAGAGCCAATTGTTGAAATGAAAAATCTCATCTAATGAAATAGAAAAACGATCACACATTAATTCACACATTCATTTTGATAGGTATCAATTAAATATTGACTGATACATTGTTTAAAAAAGAATTATATCAAATGAGACATTTTAACATTTTCTTTCATAGAAAATGCATATTTCATTTAGTCTATTTGCAGCCGTGCGGGATGAAAACCAGGCAGACAACGTGGTATTTTCAAAACTAATAAAGTTGTATTTTTATTATGTTTTTTATTCTCTCTCTCTCTCTCTCTCTCTTTTATATATATATATATATATATATATATATATATATATATATATATATATATATATATATAAAAATAATAGTGGTTTTACTTTACTATAGTTCTATACAATTTATTTTTAGTACTTGTATCCTCCTTGTTTCCCATCATTCTTGTATTTTTGTATCCTCAAAAATCAATAATTTCCCTCAAAAGAGCAATGATACACTAAAAACAAATTTCTTCAGTAAAAATACAAAAGATTTGCAGCCCCAATGTTTTTTATATGAATATTTAGTTTAACATAGTAACTATTCAGAGGATCTTCCTGATAACCTTCATGGAATTTACAGCTGGATGTATGTAAAAAATGATCAGTATCACACAATGCTCAGTTAGTCTCTTTGATAAACATTTTTTTTTTTTCAGCTTTCAGTTTCATGATTCTGAATCATAGTTGATGTGAAGTCAAGATAAACACTGACCATTAGCTTTATTTAGCTGACTCCGGCTTGTGTGTGTGTGTGTGTGTGTGTGTGTGTGTGTGTGATGACATTTCCCTGGAGGGCCATGGCAAGGTTTATCAATCATACACATGAGCCGTTGGATTGCATTACGCTGTGAAGATATGTGTGTTTACTCAGCAGTGTGAAGCGCGAAGACACGCACGCACACACACATGCGGTCATATCCCTCTTCGTGCACAACGCTGCAAAAAGTTCACTACTTATTACTATATATAGTACCCGTAACAACATCAGCACAATACTTTCTCTTTCAACCACTTCTTCCTGTCGATGTAGCAATAGATAACATAATTGTGATCCAAATTTGGTTCAGCCGTTGTGGTCTTCACAATAAATAGATTGAGTGGAAAGAATGAGAGAAGCTTGAACAGTTTCTCTTTAAGACTGTTTTTTTTTGTTGGTTTGAAACAACATTCTACTCAATCCCTTTCCAAGGAAATGCTTGAAATTCCTGGTACTTAACATACTTAATGAGTACAACAAGGGATTCACAAAGAGGGGGCGTTTCTTCCATTCTGCATTTATTCGCTCTATTCTTCTCTGCAGCAGTTTTTTAGGATACATCTAATTGGAGATGGCAGACAGGAATATTTAACAACCAGAAATACTTTTCTATCCATATTTATCTTAGTTTCTGTTGGGTTTTTACGCCAGTAGGGAGCCCTCTCACAGCTACGCAAAGCAGAAACATCTCTCATTCTTCAAAGTGTCTTTTTGCCCCCCCCCTCACTCGCCCCCCATTCTCTGCCCAGACGCCCCCTGATTTGAATAATGCCCTCGTCAGGAAGTGGAGCCTAGAGTTTCTCTTTACCAACAAACAAATTAGTCTTTGTATTGGAGTGGCTCCTCCCCTCCTCCCCTCCTCCCTCCGGCTGCCGGAGGAGCCGGGAGAAAATTCTCAATGAAACAAAGAAGACATGCAGTTCGATGGCTAACAAGTGGAGCCCAGGGGCATTGGTGTTGATTGGAGAAAGCAAATACAATTTTCTCGTGGAGTAATGGTTTCCGCTCTAAATTTGGAGACGTGAAGGGCCCTGACAGGACCAAATATAGCCACCGCAACCACATAAACAATGCAGCTTCTATTTTTGGAAGAATAGTTTGGACGAAGAACCTAAATGAGGGCCTTTTTTGTTTCTGCCGAGGGGAAGTTAATCTACTCACAGGGACCTTCTGACAGCACTCATCTTTAATATAATTTTTTGTATATATATATATTATGAAAGGACGCTTTTGTCATTTAAAAAAAAGTGGTTTCATCCATACAACCATATTAGAAAGGCATCTGGTGGCACAGTATTTTAGCTCTTGAAACAGTTCAGCTCTTTGCGTTATCCCTAGGGATTTAAAAAGGATCAAAGACTTTGATTGAAAACATGCCTGTTTGTCTTTTGGACAGGCGCTGTGAGTGTCTCTCACTGCATTGGCCTCCCAAGCCTCTGTAAGAACATAACAGGTTTAACCGAGGAGCTCATATGTCAAGGCATTTACTGTACTGACTGTTGAACCTTCTTTTAGACCGTTCCAAATATTATGCAACCTGTTGGTGTCAGTATGTGCCAATTCTATAAATATTCTACGCATTTATTGTTCATAAATATACTATGTGCAGTTTGCAACAAAGTTAAAATAGTTATTTAAAGAAGAATCGACTAACCTAGTTACTTCCTAGTTGAAAAAATATCTCCACGTATTCAGTCACCTGTAACACCTTTATGTATGAACTCTTACTTATCACAATTCAATTGAGAGTGCAAAACTATTTAACAATTAAGCAGAGAGGTCCAACAAGTTTCCCAAAATTAAAATGAATGGTAGAAATAATTACATTTAGGAAGCTAAAATACTGGACAGATACTTCAGAGGCCTGGCTAAAAGTAAATACAGGTTTTAATGGTTACATTTGTTTTGCTATAAATGGTAAAACATGTTTGTATTCTTAATTTTGGTAATGCTATGTAAAGGTTGAACCAAAAATTCCAAAAGCCCCCAAAAACGTTTTCTGTTGCCGGCTGCACTGTAGCTCATAAATCTGTGTAATAGACGTTAAATCAATTTGATCTCACATCCAGTGTTGTTTCTTTGGTCCCTTCAGCCAAACCTTTGCCGCAATGCTACGCGTTTATGCAGCAGAGAGCGGCTCGTGATTAGCTCGGGCGGTTGCGTGGGTGGGATTTCGATACCGCCGCTAGAAGTGGTTTATTAGTTAAAATAGTTCGTTAGCTGAAAGTAACGACTAAAGTTGCACTTAGTGAAGAATAATTGCTAGAGGATGTTATCTAAAAATAATGGTAAAGTTTCCACTCCCAAGACAAATGTCTTGCACTCGTTGGTATAAACATTTCAGCTGCATTATTTAAAATGTTTCAATATCTGATTAAACAAAGATTCAGCATGAAAGCCATTCAATAAAGGTTTTTTGCAACATGATCGTGGAGTCGGTGAAGCGGCCCTAGATCTCGCTTCATTAGACGAGGCTTTGAAGGTCTATCAGACTAGAAAGCTGCATTAGAGCACAATAAACTGTGTGTGGTTTCTGAGAGCGCCCCGGGCGCTGGTTTCGAGTGTTATTTTCTAAAGAAAGAGGAATGGCTCATTCAAACGCTGGGGTTATCTGAGGTGACAAAGTTCAGTTTGTACTTGATATGTCGGATAGAGCTACAGATGGTCCTTTCCACGTTTTACCCTTCTGAAACTCATTGTGAATAAATATTTATTTTTCATTTTATACAATGTAGCTTTAAATATTATTGATACCTCAAGAAGCTTATTATATTTTCCAGCAATTGCTGTATTTCCTACCAAACAACATTTATTACATTAATTTCGGATGCAAACGAAAATCTGTAATTCTCTCCATTGCACATAGACCTTCATGTGTCGTCCTTCTCTGTCTCTTCCAGTCTGTGGTCCGAGTATCGACATCCGCAATGACATTGAGGAGTTTAAGCGGCTGCTGAACTGCACGGTGGTGGAAGGCTACCTGCAGATCCTCCTCATCACCGACAAGACCAACAACATCCAGCAGGAGGCCTTTCGCTCCCTCTCCTTCCCAAAGCTGACCGTCATCACCGACTACCTGCTGCTGTTTCGCGTCTCGGGCCTGGACAGTCTCAGCATGCTCTTCCCCAACCTGAGCGTCATAGGGGGGCGAAATCTCTTCTACAACTACGCCCTGGTGATCTACGAGATGACCAGCCTGAAAGACATCGGCCTGTACAACCTGAGAAACATCACTCGAGGAGCGCTGCGGATCGAGAAGAACCCCGAGCTCTGCTACCTGGACTCCGTGGACTGGTCTCTTATTATGGACGCCGAGTTTAACAACGTCATCAATGGGAACAAGAAGGCAAAAGAGTGCGACAACGTCTGCCCAGGCATCATGGAGGATAACCCTCTTTGCCGCAGGACGTCGTTCAATGACAACCTCGACTACCGCTGTTGGACCTCCAGTCAGTGCCAGAAAGGTAACCTGAAATATGTTCGGCCTTTGTTTTATATTTAATCCCAGCACATAATGAATGAAGCAGCTGTAGGTGATTTTAAACCGCAATGGGCAACATTTTGTGGTATAATTATATTAAATGCAAATGGGCCTTCGATCAATGTAGGTAGTTTACAGTCTCGCAACCATTCTGAATTATCCATTTTATTTTTCACTAGCGCACAAATCCCATGAAGCCATGAAGGGTTTTTCCTTCATTACCGTCAGGCGGCAGGATTATCCACCGGCCAAACATTTCCTCTCTGTTCATTATGGAGACCTTGTCTTCAGATCAGGCTATTTGTGGAGTGAAGGACGGCTGCAATATAGAGCAGTAGGTATTAGACAGGCATACTCAGCTGAGGTTAACGTTGCTCTGCCAAGAAATGAGCTTGTCTACCTGTCTGGACCCTTTCAGCTAAATATTTGCCTTGGGACTTTTTTTGCAATTTATGAAAAGGGTTATATTGAAGAATTTGGGGGGAGTGTATTCCTTGTATAACTTTGGCCCCGCGGTACGGTAATGCATTTTTAAAAACAGTTCAGAGGAGGGTCATGTCGTCAATCTATTCACGCCGCTCTCACGGCAAGTGTGGCAACATCTACACCGCTGTTACTCTCTCAGATTACAGAGGGAGAGACAGCTCGTGCTTTTCGATTAGAAATTGGGACAAGCAGATCAGCTGTCTCCCGCCTGTTCAAATCTACTGTAGCATGCCGTTCCAGCCTTTTTAAATGTATCCATCTATGCTTTATTTTGTAACATTTCTTCAAGGGTGGAAGAGGCTTTTCAGAGGGTTTTTATCAGTCAAATTCCTTCACAGATTAAGACACAATTCGCAAATCTCAAGAGTTGAAATGGTGATATAAGATTACAACTAAAAAAACTGTGCTGGATACAAAATATCTAAAAGATGCCAATGCCAGTGGCATTCTAGAGGTTTTTATTAAATGTGATTAAATTAAATGATTTGAAACAATGTTGTGTCTTCAAGGTTGCGTACTATTTACCTTTCATTGCTCTCTTTCATAGATACATTAATACATTTTGTTACTTGATAGAGACTGGCTTCTTATATCTGCTCTGAATACCCATACTCTGTCATGGAGTTAATGGAAGATTTACAGATATTCTATTTTCTTGGTTAAAACCAAACATGTCAATCTAGACTGTAGTTTTTGCAAAAGAAACTGTCGTTTTCTCCGTTCTCTCATCTGTCTGAAAGAATGGTGGGAAAGTTCCTCTAGCTCTTTTATTAAAGACCTGTGTACAGCTCCCATGGTCAGTCTTAAACCCCACCCTCCTTCATCCCCGTGGACCCTCAGAACAAATAGTGGAAATCAAGCTTGTGTCTTTTCCCTGGTGATATCTAACGCTATTGAAATGTTACGTTGTACATTTATTGTTACGCCTGTTTATTTATTCTCTGCACTGACCGAGTTCCCTGCATGTTGTTATCGCTCCCGTAATCTGTATACAGTTGCCGAGTGGATTTCAGAAATAGTTTTCATATGAACACCTTTGTTCATAAAATGCAAATATGCCCTGTGTAGATTGTGAATGACCTTGAAGTCACGCGCAGTGTTTTGCAGTCAGTAGTTCTCATGTCTACGACTTGAGAGACTTGTTGTTTGAACCGGTTCACTTCTCTGTGAGGCCGAGGTCAGGGTAAATGCATTAGAGGGCCCTGAGCTCTCAAGGCTGCAGATAAATGCTCTGGGGAGTAACGCAGTGGGGGGGAAAGGAGGGGTTACCCATGCAATAATAGAACAGAATGAAGCTAAAGTAAGTCTGTAAGTATTTCAGGCTTCCTTCCTGCGCAGATAACATTTCTCACCCTGTCTTTTTATGACTTGATGCGTCTACCTCTCTGCATCCTGCTTGAGATTGCCTCCCTCCAGCCCTCTGCATAATTGTCTTGTTTTTCACCAGTACAGATGTTCCTTCAAGGGCATTCAGTGGTCTTTATAGTCAACATGGCCCGCTCTGCTCTTTAATTACACCACACGAGGGGGGAGCTCTTTAGCCTCTGGGTCCTAAGTGTTTCACAGGGCAACAAAACCCCTTTTTCCACCTACCAAACACCTTTTTTTTCCCCACAAAAGTTTTGGGTGTATTAGATTAACGTATGATGCTGGACAGAAAACATGTGGACTACCTACATGTGGCTGAAGGGAAGTGGGCGGGAGTGAGTACGGAGGCACGTGCAGATCGGAGCAGAGGTTCTGGGTTCTTTTCAGTGGCATGCAGCGACGGGAAGAGGAGACTGAGGGGCGCTACGCGGGAGGAGGGTGAGGGGGAATGTCAGACAAATGTCAAGTGTACAACAGCAAGCTCTCACTAAAGCACAGTGCGAAAATGCGCCCGTCACTCCACATTGTGCGCCCCCCCCCCTCCCCTCCCTCTTTCTCCCCCCCCCACCATGCTTCCTCCCAAATCCTCCATATGTTCCCCGCTGCTGCTGCCTGTCTGTTGCTGAGCCTCCTTACCTGAACTCTTTTGCCGCGGGGCTCATCGGGGGCCCGTTAACAACTCCGCCCGTCAGATTTCTCTGCTCTGTTTGCTTGTCGGGAGACACTCTCGTCCCCGCAGCGGTCACAGTCAAGTGTCTTGTTTGGCCAAGCCGTGGAGCCTTTGCCATAGCGCACTGTTTGCTTTGAGCTTTGGGGGATCCCGCGACCGAAAACTGGCCTGCTTCAAATAGCCCTCTCAGGTCTCTGTGTTGTCTGCAGACAGGCCTCCCTTCTGCCCCCCCCCCAAGCCGGTGGGGGCCGACAAGACGGGGCCGACAAGCAGGGAACCGTGCTGCTGTGTCCGTTCCCAGTCTCACGGCAGGTTCACCTTCCCAACTCCTCAAGGAGGCACGCGCTTCTCACGCAGTATTCCACACGCGGCCTGCATGTCTTCTTGTGAGATGGAATGCTGGGTTGTCGGATTTGAAGGAACAATGCCGGCTGAATATCGTATTTCATATCAACAGAAGATAAGTCTGACTGTGAATGTTTAGTGAATCGAATACTGCCTTTTGCTCTTGATAAAGCAAAACTGTGTTGGACTTGGTGCAATGTCCGTTTAAGTTTTACTGTCCGAGCTACAGTGAGTTAACCTGAAATTTGAGGTGACAAACCCTGGTATTGAATACAGAAGAAACATAGAATATCATTTTGGAGCCATAGCCGCAGGGAGCTCCACACTGGCCTGGTAGACCTTTGCGTTCGATAATATGTTTACTCCCTCCTTGCCAGAGATCCACTTCATGTGTTTGGTATGAGTGATTTGACCTACGGCAACCTTCACCGTAGAATACATTTTTCTGCGGTGTGATCTCTTTGAATGGAGCAGATAAGGCTGTTGATATTTTCTTATCAACAATCTATTTCTTAATGCTTTCTGATTTCCCTCCTCGGTCTGGGGCACTCAGCCCCAATCCCATTGGTTTCTGACTAAAACTTTGGTCATGAATGCATTCATTTTGTTGTACAGCTGTAGGTCGTAGCAGATTCTAAAACAGGAAAACATTGGGAATTTGAGCACTATTTGTAGGCGCGGATTCGGTACACTAACCAGTATTTATAGCACCAGGATGGCATGTGTTAGTACAGTTCCCATCTTCAGGAATGTAGCTGGGCGTTGGCTACACAGACAATTCTAGAATTTGTTGTTGGTTTTAGTCTTTACTTGAGATTTAATGAAAATAAGAAAACTATACAATATCACAATGCTTTATCTTCATCCAACTATGTTAACGGAAATTTATTTCATTCTGGCTGCACTGGTGGTGTTTTTCCTGACTCGCCATGCTAATTCATTTATTCAAAATATTATTGACAAGAACATGATTTAATCAAAAACAGAATGCAAATCCTCCTTCCCCCTCAGCGGAGAATTGTGAATTGATTTTCTGGATAACCACATAGCTCATGCATCTCAGTGTCAAGATCAGTTGCAGAAAGATCGAACCAAGTTGAAATTATGCTCCACTTAGGCTGGCTCAGAGCTCCATTTATTGATACCTCAGGAATAAGGCATGCATGTTAACTTTGGTGGAATGAGGCTGCCCCTGTAAGTAAAAAAGGTAGAAATTCCTGGCACCTTACTTGTGAGGGGATAGCGAGGGGGAAACACAGCACAGGCTGTATGTGCAGTCAACATTTGTGGGGGCCATACAGAGACTGTTTGTTGGCAATGAGACGGATGATATTGATGCTGTGTTTGATTGAGGTGGCCGTGTTCTTATGATCACCAATCGTTTTAAGTTAAACCAACAGCAGACACAAGGAGGCTTTTACATTTTAAATTGTTTGTTCTGAGGCTTATAAAAGCCCCCGGGGTTACAGGGACAGGATGTAGAAGCGGACTCAAATTCCAGTTTTGATAGTACGGCGCTTTCCTCCGGGCACAGTGACTCAGTACTCATACATCCGATGTTTCCACCCAGCATGAGCCGCTGCTCCATTTTGTACAGCGCTCAGGCAGCGGGGCACCGTAGAGAGATGGCACTCATGTCGCTCAAAGCCATTCATTTCTGCCCTCCCACAAACACCAGACAAAATATGGATTAGTCAGATCCGTCATGTTCTCCGCTTGCATGCTCGTGTTTTCTTTCTGTCCACCGGGCCATTGGTGCGGTTTCCAGGAGAAGCTGGACCTGTGCCTTTTTTGTAGTAGACGCAGACTTCAGGAGGTCAAATTCAACACGTGAGACCCACTCATCCTGTTGAGTTTACTCTTGTTTGTTTGTTTGTGTGCACGCTCTTGTTGCTGTTGTTTACCCGGAGGACTGGGAACTATTGATTTAGTGTTACAACTCTGCGGTGTCGTTGATACAAATGCATTAGGGAAAGCAGACAAAGCTCCCTTCACGGGAGTCGTTTCTCTTCTTTGTGCTCTTAGATGGTTATGTCTTCATAAATAGTGTTTCAAGGGCAAAAGAAGCAATAGGGTTCTGTGTGTTGGAGAACGAGCGTGAACCTACAGCTTCT